GGCGAAAAACCCGAAGGCTTAACAACATCCTAGGGTAGGGATGGGGCGTGCAGAGAAGCGCGCCCCCCTCACTGGAAGCGATGTGCGCCTGCTCTTAATGGACCCCCTTCCTCTCCCTCGCCACTGTCACTGTCGCCATCCCCGTCGCTACCGCCCTCCATCCCCGCCGCCCTTTGTCTCACACTCGTCTCTGCCGTGTCCGCTGTCGCCGCTGTCCTGTCTGTTGCGCTCTGTGCTCCGTGGTACAGTCGCTTATTGTTGCTCAGGATTAGCTCACACACCAGGACAGCCTCCGGCTCGTTATTTTGGCTTGCCGATATGCATCCAAAGTTCCACGCTAGCTCCTCCTTCGTCACGTCTATCTTTTTGCAGTATCTAGCAAATGCCGTCCGCGCTTGCTGGGGTGTTATTGCGTTCGGATTCGCCCTCGTCCCCGCCTTGTATCCCATCTCCTTGCGGTGGCGCTCCTGTATGAGTCCCCATATGACCATGTGATTTCTTTGCCTTCCTTGACTCCTTTCTCTGCAAACAGGACCATCACTTGCGCAGCCGCCTTGCCTAATTAGCGGAGGCCGCAATCGTCTCGAGGAAGGAGAAAACAATTTGCTTTGAACTCCGCCAAGCTGCTCTAGGAGCCTCTCCCGTCGCGGCCCGACTGGGGCCGAGTGGTCCGCGGGGGCTCGCCAGGGGCTCGCACGGTGCACGGGCCGGCCGCTAGAGCACGTACTGTGCTTAGTGATAGTGACTTCTTGAAGTCACTCCTAACACAGAAAAAGAAAGAAAGAAAACAGACAACCCAAGGGAGGGATGGGAGGACGGCACGCCGCCACCACAAAGGGATTTTAAGGAGAGGTGTGTGGTGCGCTAGCCGTCGCCCACCCTAGGGAGTCTGCCTCTTCCTATCTCTCTTCGCAGTCTCTCACATAGACACTAGGCCTGACGGTTTTTTTCTTCTAGATGGTGTTGCCATGATTATGAGCCTCTCCCGACGCTTGGCTGCCTGGCTGCGGCCTTTGGCGAAGGAGTGCATCGCTGGCGCAGCGGTCGCTGGCGCAGCGGCGGGCGCGGTATGCGCGGTTGTCCTGCACCGCCGACTCACCGCCACGCGCGCTGCACTCGACGCCATCGAGGAGCGACTTGCGGCGCACAGCACCGGTCTCGACTTTTTGGCGCAGGAGCTGGAGGCCCTGCGGCTCGCCCTGCGGCAGCCGCAGCTTGCGGGCTCCTCCAACTCCTCCGTCTCTGGCCGGCCGGTCCGCTCCGTCGGCGGCGGCTCGCGCACGGCGTCGATGGCGACCGCCGAGGACGAGGGTCTCTCCGAGGCGGGCTGGTCGGACGCGGGCTGGTCCGAGGCGGGCGGGTACCGTACCGCCGACGAGGAGGATCTCGACGACCTGCTGCTGTCCGCGCCGGCGCCCTTCTCGCACAAGCCGCCTCCCCCGCTGCACGGCGCCGAGCGCGCGGCGGCGGACTCGGACGCGGACGCGGACGGCGCGTCCGCC